TTTAAGGAATAATTTATTTAAAAAGCCACAAGGTAACCATGCTTTTAATTTATGATTAGTGTTACTTCTTGTTAATTGGGTGATTATTGAGAAAATTATGAATAATGTAACAGCCCTCCGCTCACCCCGCCCACCCGAGGTCTTTTGCGGCGCTGGACACTCTCCCCCCAGGCCCCACAACAGGGCGACCCCACCCCTTACGGTGAGCATCAGGAGACAAAGGCTTCCCCGCAGTAGTGTGCAGGATTATTCCCCTTGCGAGGAGCCTCTCCAGGTTCGATCCTCCAACCTCTCCTACATAACAAAGTTGAGGCTGAACCTGGTACCATTGAACTGGTTCAATGGTACCAGGTTCAGCCTCAACTTTGTTATGTAGGAGAGGTTGGAGGATCGAACCTGGAGAGGCTCCTCGCAAGGGGAATAATCCTGCACACTACTGCGGGGAAGCCTTTGTCTCCTGATGCTCACCGTAAGGGGTGGGGTCGCCCTGTTGTGGGGCCTGGGGGGAGAGTGTCCAGCGCCGCAAAAGACCTCGGGTGGGCGGGGGGGTGAGCGGAGGGCTGTTACAATTAACCGATAATCCTAGGGGTTATAGCCGCTACTTACCTTATAAGGTACTGTAGCATTATTCCTATTAAGGGACTTGACCCTACTGGCCTACCTGGAGTTTTGGGTAGAGCTAGTTTTAGGTATGACACCCCATAGTGTGTGATTTGGGGGAAACTGTGTTCATAAGTGAGTAAGGTAACCCTGACTCGGTAGCCCCTCATGATATGATTAAGGCTTTGGGTAGTCTCACCACATGGATGATCCCTTCCGGTTGTTGGCCCACGGATTTCATGTCAGAGGAAATAAGGGGGGATATAAGGAAGAGATTGATCATGCATATTATTATTATCATGCCATTTGAGTGATTGATGGCTATGTTGAGAATATGATTATAATTGTAGAAATGAGAACATGTAGTAATTTTGCGAATAATGTATATGTGGCTATTTGTGCAAATTTTATACTTGACTTTATTCTTGAAATTATTCACATGAGTTAAATGTTAATGTGATTAACATGTTATTAATGTGATTGTTTGAATGGTCACCTTGATAAATTTATTGGTCACTTGCATTCATGATTAATTATCATGCATTTGTATAACTTAGATATACCTTGGTTACTGAGTGGTTGTACTCACCTCTCTCTTTTAACATATTATATGAGCTAGCTCATTTGAGAAGAACAGAGGAAAGGAGCATTAGGTCAAGTGATAATAATCACTTCTGTAGGCCTCTCTCTTTTTATTTGATATGTGTATTTAGTTTATGATATTGCTATCTAGGATAATATATTCTTGATCCACTTGCATTATGGGTTTTGTGTTGGGAAAAATGTATTTTGGGCCCTGAGGAATGTGGTTTGATGCTTGTGCTATAATTACAGGCCAAAATATTTATGCAGGTAAAAATAGTTATCATCATGCTTCCGCATATGTTTAATTAAATGATATGAGCTTTTAAAATATTTTAAAGACTTGGAATCCCTTTGTACTAAATAGTTTGTTAAAAAAAATACATATTAAGAATTCATTTAGGTTAATCTCGTAATGGATAATCCATTTGGATTAGTTTTTAATTAACCATGGTTAGTATGATGATTAAGTCCTAATTTATGGACGCCCTTTACATTACCACAAGTACTTTTTAATCTTGAGATGTATTTAAAATTTCAAGTACTTTCAATCACTCTATTAATGTACTTTTACTATTAATCTCAAGACTTGATGACATCCAAGTGTAAGTTAGATTTGCACTATTGGTAATCAAGGTTTATAGAAATTCAGTCCCATCCTCTTGATGTTTTCAACACCATGTCCCTTATCAATTTTTTGGTCAAAGGTTCTGCAAGATTTAATTCTAATCTTATATAACTTATAGAGATTGTATCATTAATAATCAAATCTTTCACATAACTATATCTTAATCCAATATGTTGTGACTTTTCTTTATAAACTTGGCTAGAAGCCTCTAAAAATGCACCTCACTATCACAATGGATAGATATCCTTGCCAACTTCATATTAAAAGTCAAATGATGTATAAATATGACAATAACCAAAGCAATTAACATATCATCAATATACAAACAAATCATGACACATTTTTCATTATTAAAACTTAATATAAACACATTTGTCATATCAATTATTTTCTACCATTAGAGTGCTTATAGCCAGGGCGTTGCTCCCCCCTCCCCCCAAACTCTCCACACCCTTTCATGTTAATAGAGAGAAGAAGGAAAAAAAAAAAGGGAGGGAGGGAATTGTGATGAGGTGAGAAAGAGAAGTTGGAATCTTCAGTCTCCAGATGGCGAGAAGGGAGAGAGGCAATGGAATTATGTGAGGAATTGAGATTGAAAATAATTATTTTTTTTTTCTCCATACTCCTTTATACTTTTAAGAGATATTTATTTTTAAAATATAAAACACTTTAATAAAAATAAAATTTTATTAATTACATTTTCTAATATTATCTTTTTCATCATATTCTCTTCTATTATTTTTTTACAATTGAAGTTTAAACGAAAAATATTTTTAAAATTTTATATTTTATTTTAAAAAAATAAAATTATAAATTATATTGAATGAGTTTTATTAATACATGAAAAGTATTTTATAAATTGGGATGAAGGTAGAACAAAACTTCCTTTAGTTCCTATTATAGGGCACATTTTAAAAGAAATTTTTTGTCATTACTATAAGACAATTGATGTGATATTAATATACAATTTTTTAAATATTACCTATAATTTAAAATCACTAATTATTAGAAAAAATGTTATCCAAATTTAAAAATTTTTATTTAAATGTAAATAAAATTAAAATTTTATCTATTTTCAAATAAAGTTAATTATTTAACTGTATTTCCTTAAATAGATGTGCATTTTAATAGAGATAAGAGAGATGAATTAATTTTTAAAAAATTGCCCCACGCCCCAAACTTTTGATGTTGGTTCTGTCATTGCTTATAGCACTTACCTCAATATACAAACTTGTTACCTATCAAAAAACAATTTTATTACTTAAAACGTACCACTTTAAGGCATCATTTTAACATTTATAAATACTCTTCACCAACACTTATTTTATAAATACATCTATTAAAATTTATTATCTTTATTCTTTGAGTACATCAAGGATAAAGTCAAATTATCACTTTAAAAAAACTTTTGTTGGCTTGTCTTAAGCATTAATAGTGCAAATCATACTTAAGGATTTCCATTGTATCCTAAATGACATTCGCCACTAACCCAACTTGTATCCAAAAACTAGAACAGGTGGAGATAAAGCAGGCCTAATGATTTATATACTTAAATCACTTGTTTCTAATTAAATCAAGACATGCATATTTTTTTTATAAGTTAGTTATTCTATAACAATCCTTTTATTAATGTTATTAACATATTAAAGTTCATATATCTTGATTTAATTGGATAAAATTATATTAAGTATATAAAATTAATTATGTACGTCTTTTCCTTTTCAATTTTGTATTCTGTACATTTAAAAAAAAAATGAAACTTGAGATGTGCTCCCTCCCCCGCTATATCTTTTTATAAGGTATTTTAACATTATCACTGAAACTAATAAAATGCCTAAAACTCTTTAATTCATTTTGAAAATTTTAAAACAAAGTTTTCAATTTTGTTTTTGTTACTTTATTTAGACCCATATAAGATATAACATAACATTGAAAAAAATAAGCCCATATTAAATAAAGGCAATATGAGAAAGATGTAATAAATCTGTCATATGATGTATTACAAAAAATATAAAAACAAATTCGTCCAAATATCTTATAAATAGGTTCCAAAACCAAAAAATAGAGATGTTATTTTCGCTAAAACCATAGTATTGTAATTGACAAAGGTGTTTTATACAGCAATGGGAATGAAGAGGTTTAATAATGTAAAGTGCTTCTCAATTATAGAATCTACATTATTGAATGAATGATTAGCTTGAATGCTGTCACCTCATATTTCACCCATCAAAATCGCTGAAATATCTCCATGTCTTTTTATGGATCGTTCGTAGCTGCTTGCTTTCACCTCCAGTTTCTCATTTCACGGGCAACCCAACATAAGATCACAATACAGCCCCAAAAATGAATTCACACTTCAACTCACCATTACTTTTTACTTGTCTTCCCTCCCTCTCTCTTTTCTACCTCCCTGAATTTTCCCCCTCATTTTTTTTTATGATTTTCTAAGGTATTCTCATTGTTGATAGTTATGAGATTAATTTCAAATGTCATTTAAAGAGTTATCCTTTCTCAAATGGTATTTTTGTCCTTCCTTTATTGAATGCTTTAGGGTTCAAATCAGCAGGGGAGTTGTTTGGCATTGTGTTCTGGACCCCAAGGGTCACATGGTTCTGAGTTCCTTTCTCGCATCTTGCGGAGTCATGGGTTTAAATTCAAGAGCAAGCTTTCATTCTTTGATTTCAAAAACTGTCCTCCCTCTGCTCCCTTTGCTTCCCCCAAACTCCATTTGAAATGGAAACAAATATGCCATAATAACCATACACCATTCACATCAACTATACGATTTTCTTGTCCTTTATAAGTGGTTGCTTTTTTAATTATTATTCCATATAATTAAGTATGACAAATACTATGAGAAAGAAGAAAAAAGAAATTATTCTACCAAGAAATGTTCATCATCCTCTCTATTTTCTACAACCCCCAAGAAATGAAATTCCACGCATGACTTTTCCGACCTTGTTTTCACAATTTACTGGCCTGCAAGTTTAGTCAATCTTTTAGCCTGACAGGTATATAAAATATACTCCATGCTTCTTCCCTCTTCTTCTATGTATCTTTTTACCTTCCATTGACATTGACTCACTGAACATGGTAACTGACCGTTGGGCCCCACATTAATGTCATAGTTTATTATTGGTGCCAGAAGCAAAATCATAGTCAATTGCTGACGATGGAGGGTGGACACGAGTGATAACACTTGACAGTTACACCATACAAGAAGAAAGACAACAAAGAAACAGGTTCATATATATATATATATATATATTCTTCTGCAGTGAAGAGAAGGAATGAAAAGGCCCTCCCAACTCGCATCTCACTTTCAATTTTCTTGTAAACGGTAAAACGTAATGAGTGATGATAATGGAGAATGAAATTGCAGTTTCCATTTCCTTTTCATACTATAAGCAAGCACACCCCACCACCACTTCTTCCCACCACCTATAGGTAAGCAAGCCGTACCTACTTTTCCTTTCTCGACCTTCTCTTTTCCTTAAAGCACATATCTCTGTTTCTCTCTCTTTCTCCCTGTGCTTGTTCTGTCCCAGAAAATATACCAGGTTGTTGTGAGATTTGTTGTTGTGTGTTATTCTAATCCAACTCCACTTGCTCCATATACTCCTTTATTTATTCCCCTTACCATACAAATTCCATGGGATTACCCTCTAAAACCCACATAAAACATTCCAGAGCGACTTACTTGAATCAATGAGGATGTTGTGGGATTAAGCATCTCCATCCAATTATCTGTTTCATTTGGTAGAACCGGCAAGTCTGATTCTTGAACAGAGAAAGAAACACCGAAGGTAGAGTCATCATGCCATTTGGATTGGCCTCAGCCTGGAGCAAGCGCCACAGAAGCAAGTCTCAAGACCATACTGACCCCTGTATGTTCTGATTTCTCCTCCCTTCTACTCTCTTTCTCATGCTACGCAGTGCCAGGAGTGTCGTTTCATGGCACAGAAAACTTAACATCTAGACACTCATTCCAGGGATTTACAAACCTCTGGAGTTTTGGCAACTTGAAGATCAAGCAACGCGGCCCCCAAAAAGGCAGCATGCGTCGGCTGTCTACACGCTCAAGGAGATGGAAGAGGCAACAGGTTCATTCTGTGATAATCTGCTTGGCAAAGGAGGATTTGGCAGAGTGTACAGGGGCACTTTGCGTTCAGGAGAGGTAATATGGTCAGCATACAAGTTCCTAGCAGGAAGAAATTCATCATGATTCTTAAACTTTTGCAGTACTGATTCAATAAACAAATCGGGTTTTTTTAGCTGTTACTGATACCAACAATCAATACAAACAGTAGAAAACAGTAGGTGAAGGCAAAGTAATTCACCAAAAAATTGTACTGACATACGAAGACATGCTAATATGCCATTGTCTTCCTCTAAAGGTTGTAGCAATCAAGAAAATGGATCTGCCGGCAATTAAAGAAGCAGAGGGAGAGCGTGAGTTCCGTGTTGAAGTTGACATCTTGAGTAGACTTGACCACCCAAATCTTGTTTCTCTAATAGGCTATTGTGCTGATGGGAAGCACCGGTTCCTAGTATATGAATACATGCATAACGGAAACCTGCAAGATCATTTGAATGGTTTGTGATGCGCTCAGAACCCACATTCATGTCAAAATTCCTGATATCAAACTTCAATTAATGAATGCCTCATTTCAGGAATTGGGCAAAGAAAAATGGATTGGCCTCACAGACTCAAAGTAGCACTGGGAGCAGCAAGAGGTCTAGCATATCTCCATTCAAGTTCTGCTGTTGGAATTCCTATTGTTCACAGAGACTTCAAATCCACCAACGTTCTCTTAAACGCCAATTTTGAAGCCAAGGTATAGATACGCTCCAAACACAAGTGACTTGTAACTTTCCTTACAATATTATGTACTGAGCTAAAATTAATAAACTTTTTGTAGATATCTGATTTTGGGCTAGCTAAGTTAATGCCAGAAGGACAAGAGACACACGTGACTGCCAGAGTGCTTGGTACATTTGGTTACTTTGATCCTGAGTATACATCGGTATGCTTCTATGCTACAAGGATCAAAATTATTTTTCCACTTGAATCTTTCTGCAAGATCTTTTATGTGCGACATGCAATTGAGTATGAGAACTATATTCCATATAAATTACATTAGATTAAAAAAATACTCATATTAATAGTTCTTATGCAATAGACTTCCCACATCTTAATCATTTCTTTAAGAATTTAACATTGCCGCAAAACAGGATTACATGCACAAAAACATCCAGGAATTCAGTGTTTCTTCATTTCATCGTAATGGGGTAAAGGCCATATGTCAGTATTTTCAGACCTATCTATAAGTGAGTTTTATAAATGGATGAACAGGAGGAAACATCTGCTAGTAGCTGCTGTGTTGATTTAGTCCATTATAAAATATCATGCCGACTCAAGGATTAGCCAGCAAAACCAAAACCAACCTCAACACCAACACATAATGCCAACTGATAGAGAGCAAAAATATGTCAACTTGTAAAATTGCGGTCCACTTCAAATTCTAATGATGAAACAATAACAGGCATTTTTCTTCATAGTACTTAACAGACATTTTTAAAAGTATCCATGGCAGATGAATCGGGTAATCAGTCCCCGTCTGTATGGGCAAGGTAATGACGTTCCCATTCCCTCAATCATTTGCAAAGGCTATTAAGCCTTTGTAATTATTGCTCAAAAAAAAAATTATCATTTTTTAAAAGTAACTCTCAAAATCACTTTTTCATTATATTTCATTTCATTCTGTGTACCAAATATGATTCTATGAATTTTTGCATTTTAAACTTACTAGGAGAAGGATATTTATTCTCTTCAGCGTATGCAAAATTTTGAGCAGGCAATATCTCTAGTCTTTTTTATTCATTACGTTTTCTTGCAATGGTTTTTCAATAAAAATATTCAACAAGCTTATTCATGTACGAAATAGTCAGTTTGAATCACGAACTTCAATATATGTGACTCTAAACATATATCAGTTTGGACTAAACAGAATCATGTCTGAGCAACTAATGCTTGTTTCTCGATGGTCTGGGAACCAAGTAGCTTTATTCATTTCCCTTTTTACATTACAAGTTCCCCTCCAATTCCAAAGCCATCGGATTCAGACCTTTAGATGGATAAAAAAATAAGAGCCCTCAATAAAGGTTAGTGGAAAATCTCTTTATCAGAGTTACAAAAAACCATTCTTGAACCCTTTTTAAATAGCTCAAGATTTTACGAAAAAGTGTTTTTAACATGGTATCAAACTTGGCTGACCATTGATTAAGTAGTCCCCAGGTTAATCCTACACAGCCAAAATCTAATAATTAAGATTCCAATTCAAAGTTTCATGCACTTCCTGTTACTCAATTCATAACCTAGAGTTTTTTTTTTTTTTTGGGGGGGGGGGATTAGATTTTCCAGCTCACAGGAAGCATTTGCTATCACTTAGCCATGACCCCTTTTCTTAGAAAAACATGTAGCCACTAACACTGAAATAGTACAAAAAAGAATTCACAGACATAAGGTAAAATCGAGTGAGACAGCTCTTATAGTTGTCGTGATGCTAGGACATGAACTTTATCGAACATAATCCAAATAAGTAGGTTGATAACTAGGGGTGCTTTTATCAAGTAATGACGGTAAACTTGACATTATCTATCTGGTTCTTTTTCTCTCAATGAAACATGCATACTGCTCTATCACTGAAAACCCTACATGTCCACAAACAATGAAGTAGTCTTGTAGCCGGATATTGCCAAAGATTGGTCTGAATCTAATAATTAATTCATTTCCTTTGACAACAGACGGGGAAACTGACGCTACAAAGTGATGTTTATGCTTTTGGTGTTGTTCTTCTTGAGCTTTTGACAGGACGTCGAGCTGTAGATTTAAACCAAGGTCCAAATGATCAAAACCTTGTATTACAGGTAAAAGAAAATATATATACAGAAGGGGATACAATTCCTTGAGGAAGTCAAAGCAACATATTAAACCCAGAAAGTCACCAATGCTATTACTTTCTTCCATTCCAAAACACTTGGTCATTCAATTACTAATAACTAGTTATTTTCTTCAGTGAATTTCCTTTGTTTCCAATTTTGTTCAGCATCCCTAAATATGTGTGTAGTAATTGTCCATATTCCCATCATAAAACATTCTGGTTTACAAGTTTTAAAAGGACGGGGATTGATATTGTCCACATTGACATATAGGTGAGAAACATACTGAATGACCGCAAGAAGCTCCGCAGGGTGATAGACCCAGAAATGGCACGAAATTCTTATACCTTGGAGTCCATAGCCATGTTTGCCAATCTTGCATCACGATGTATCCGCACAGACAGTAGTGAGAGACCTTCTATGGCAGAATGTGTAAAAGAGCTGCAAATGATTATCTACACTAATTCAAAAGGCTTGGCAATGGTTATGCATAGTTTGAGAATGATCTAATGAAATCCCATGTTTAAGCACCAGGCAAATGATGGTTTTCTATCAGGAATAAAGATTCCTATTATTCAGACACCAAGCTAAATTATGACCAGGAAGAAGTATTTGGCATAATTATATATGATGCATTGCAATTTGGATGTTCCTAAAGGGCCTCCCCTGGTCTGTTCTCCTGCTCTCATCCTTTGGTTTGTCGCAGGAAAAATGTCCTCAAAGGACCAATACAAGAACAGACCACTTTTCTGGAAAATGTCCATCTACTAACAGTACCATTTTGTTGTGTTGGAATTATTGACTTGATTCCACAGATTGGATGAACATTACTCAAATGTCTATATATACTTTATAATATCAATATTTGATTACATTAAAGAAATTCAGAGTAATTAGCATTTCCATAATTCATGCACTCTAGTACTGGTAAATTTTATCAAGAAACATGTCCCTAACTCAACTATAATGTTTTTGTTGATGGACACTTCAAGATGATCAACACTATAAAATCTTTTTTTTTTTCTTTGCCAACAACACTATAAAATCTACTATTCTATATTGAAAATGTTATCTAAAAAAACACTTTATAGATTGTCCAAGAAGAAAGAGTAATTCACAAAACTAAAGGGGAGGAAACCCAGAAGACTAAACGTGGTTTACCTGCAACACAATGTTTCTCAGCCCTATAGATAGGCGGATACAAATGGGGATCCCTGAACCACTGATTTGATCCCTAGTCATAATTCAAACCCCCATGACCATCATTGCTACCACTTCTGAAACATGCAAAAGAAAATAATAATAATAATAATAACAACAACAACAACAACAATACGAAATAAGAAAACATATTAGAGGACATATTCAATTATATAATCATGAGGGAGTTAAAAAAAAAACATGAGCTTCAAAGCAACATACAACAATGAAAGTTTCATCTTAACCAAATAATTTGAACCTTTGCCTGTATTCATGCAGAAGACTTTTCTGTATCAGATTCTGGAACGTCTAACTTTGGAGGGTTACTTAAGAGAGGGAGTTTCTTGCGCATCAGGTACTTGCGTCTCTGCAACATCAGCAGAACTAATACACTATCCGTCTTTACAATTTTGTAATCCGCTTTTTTATACATGTTAAGGGGAGCTGCATCTATCATTCTACAGTGTAAATAAACTTCTCTTGAGGAACTCATCTGAGAAATTAGCTCCTCACTTGCCTTTAGAAGATGCCAGCCAATGCCCCTCCTGCAAGGAAGTACCAGAAACACAAGCTTAGGATGCAAACTTTAAATGCAGCGCCATCCAAAACGTTAGGCAGACATACTAAAGGATTAAAGGGGAGCACTACTGCAAGACTTATGAGGATAACATTATGTTCTAGGTTCCACAGCATGTGCATTATCATGGAAAAGGGATGATAGAAATGGTAAACAACTTAATTCAAAATAAAAAATTAAAACTAAAAAAACTCCTATTTCTTGTTTTGAGTGTACATGCTATGGAATGTATAGAAGTCATCAAATAGCCCATTGATTTGAAAATTACAGAAAAAACCATCTAAAGAAGACAGAAATATGGATGACATTGATGGCAAGAATTTCAGGCTTTTTGTTAACATCATCTATAATTTCAATTCAAATGGATCATCACATCATCACCGGCACAAGTGGCGGCACAACCATGCAATTGCAAACTTAATCAACTTCTTGAAATCCAAGACTTAATAATAACAGGACACGTGGAATAATACTCAGACTAAAAGTATTACCACAAGGATGAAGCCATTTGGTCATTGCAATAATGAGATTACTATTAACATTTTAAAATAGAGGATGATGAAGACATCAGAAATTTTATTGTCTAAATTCCACGTTTCCTAATTCAAATTTCGAATTGCTATAAATAAAAGGTACATCTGGAACTAATATAGGAGCACGTCAGACTTGTCTTTTTCCTCCATCTGTCTGCGGACAAGCACACCCAAGGTAGAATTGGAGACTCCAGATGTAAAATAAACTCAGTATATAAATGCCTAGATTTAAAAAGACTAGTCATTTCATGTTCTCACGATTCTACGAAAGATTTTAATGATTAGAACACATTCAAACTATTCCATCAAAAAGGGGGCGGGGGAGAACAAATTCAAATTACAGTACATGGAGTGATTTAGAGAGGTCAAATAGAAGACACAAAGTAACAACTTAAACTGACAAGAGTAATCTAAGTTTTCCAAATACGACTGTTAGACCTATGTGTTGCGCAAGATGAATCAATACAAAAAGGTTTCAAGATTCTGCCCAGTTGAATGTTTCCAACCGTGACAATATGATTCAGGTATCAACCAAGTGACTTAGTTCGTTACTTTAACAATTTATGCCTGTTTTTCCTGAGCAGGTATTGATAAATCCTCATTTCCAATAACAGAAGTCTAAGCCCCGCATGCTTTTAAATCATTGCGGTCGGAAATTTAGGAGGACCCAACGAAGAAAAATTGAAAACTATCCTATTTCCTAGACAAGGAATCAAGGATCAAGCATGAATACCGTGATTGTGATAAAATCAACACTAGCACTAATCCAAGAGACACACAGGAAGTAGCTTATTTGATGGATAAGTTGATTAAGGAAAAGAGTACCTCCTCAGAGAATCTTTTACTGCCATATTACATATGTAAGGCGAATCTTTGGGAGGCGTGGGTGTTGGAGGTGAAACATTGGCACCTCTCTTGTTAAAACAAACCTCCACAGTCCCTGCTAACTGAACTTCTTGTTCTTTACCGCCTTCCACCGTTTCTTTGTAAATTCCGATAAGCGTGGCCATGTGCGGCATTTGAACTTTCCTCTCAACCAAATACTGCTTTACCAAAAACTTCAACACAGAAACATAACCTACGGGTAACACCATTGACTCAGCAAATGATTCGGCAAGCAACCCAATGGTCATGTCCATTTCCTCCTCCCCCATTACCCGAACCCACAAAGACCCAGATTTCAATTCCTTAAAATATACGAAATTTTCAAGGAATTTGAGCTTTTCGAGCTCATCATTACTCAGAAATCGACCGATGCGAAAGGGGTCTTGCTGGCACGAAAAGGTTGGGGTTGAAAGTGTTGTTGAAGAATGAGATGAAGAGGAAGATGAAGACTTAAAGTTGAAGCTGAACGTGCCATCTCTATGGAACGTGGTAAGTGGGTATTTGTAGATGGGTGATAGCCGAGTAAAGAAACGAGATTGGAGATGTCTAGGTACAGCAGACGAGGGGAGACGAGAGGGATGGTGAAGCTTCTGCGGATCCAAAGGAAAGGAAAGCGAAATGGTTGCAGCCATGGAATGAGAACTGAGAAGGGATGTTGCTAGCTCGGGTAGCAGAATCAGTTTTCAGAAAGGACGTGAAATCATGAGAAGAGCAGCAGAATCGCATATCACCATTCATGTGTCATCTAGGAAAAATAGAGCAGTGGTGAAACTCGAGAGCAGAGCAGAGAACGAAATCCGACCACCAAATCTAACTGGCCACAAGGTCCATCAAATGATCCGAGTTCTAACCATGACCAAATAGGTAGCTTACAAGTTACAAGGCCCATTCTTGATGGATATATCTTCAGAGCATGCAAATATATAGTATATGTTAATCAGAGGTGTACCTTACAATTTTCTTTCCGCCTAAGACGGAGATGTGCGTTGCTTTGCGTTATCCATAAGAAGAGGATATATGCCTTCCTTGCTCGTGGTAGAAAGAATGAGTCTAAGCTGGTTGTTAATATTTATTCCGTATTAAATTATAAAATATTTTTAAATAAAATTTTATATAGTAATAAATTTATTAAATACACCTGACAATTTTATCATTTCAAAATAAAAATATAAACTTTTAAAAATATCTATCATTTAATATATTAAAAAGAAAAGGGACTGAAATTAATTATAAAAAGAGAAAGGGTGATATTAAAATTGACGCATTTAATGAAACCTTAATTTACCTAAAATATTTTATATTTTGGGATAAAAAAACTTCAATTTGGGACGAAGGGAGTATTATGATTTATGATTTATTATGAACTTGATATATGCATGTATGGATTGATATATTCATTGATGATTGATATTGATACTGTTAAGTTATTTATATTTAATTATATAATTTAGAATTGATTATATTCTGTTTTTATTACATTTTTTAAAAACAAGTATAATTCAGAATAAATATGGTTTCAAATTATATTTATTATTTTATTTTAAAAATATAAAAAATATAAATATTTTAATTTAATTTAAAGAAGTCAAATGTAAATTTTCATATTTGGAGACGCATAAAAAAATTTGTATTGAATTTAATGAAGTGTAAATATGTTTAATTTATATTAAAATGCATATATATTATAGCATTTTCACTTTAAAAGGGCTCTTTTTTTCCCTCCAAAATTCGATTTCTAAAATTAGTAATCTTGATGTTTAATTTGTATCTTCTTCTATTTTTTTCCCCTTTTATAATGTTTTAACGTCATATTCCAAAAAACTTTAACTAAATAGCCTGGATTTAATGCTACTAAATTATTGAAATCAGTTTTTTTATGAAAAAATCTTAGATAGATATAGTACATTATGCCATTCATGATTCATCTAATAAAATTATATTAATTTATTCGGATAAAATTTTATGTATCACTATTTTTAGTAATTTTATTTTTAAAATAAAATGCCCATTTAATTTCTTACTTTTTCTCACTCTATTATCATTAATATTAGAATTAATTTATATTTAATATCATTTAAATATCATATTTTTATCAGATAGATTATAAGTGATGTAGTGCACTGGATTTATTTAAATTTTTTTTGCTAAAGTATATAGTTAATCCTTAATTTTACATAATATTTTTCTTAATCCCTTAATTTTATAAAGTGTTTTTAGTCTTTAACCTTAACCTTGTGAGTTTTATTCCCAACAAATTTTTACATTAAACTTTTAAATATTTACAAAATATTATCCAACATTGACATATTAAATTTAATTATTTTAAAATAATAACGATTGACATAAAAAAATTATTTAAAACTAACGATGTTGGTATTAAAAGATTAAAAATATATTTTACAAAATTAAAGAATTAAATTAAAACTTTATATAAAATTGAAGAACTAAAAGTATATTTTTACCAAAAAAAATTTATATGTGTTTATCAATATAAAACGTTAGGGTAATTTGATTAAAATTAAGCCAACTCAAAGGAATTTCTCATTAAAAGAATCCAAATTCGCGTGATATTATTGTTATAGGCATTAAAAAATTCACGCTTTGTGTGTGTGTAATTAAATGTGTTTAAAATCTTATATCAGCATGTAAGGACAAATATTATTTTTAAAATTAAGAAAGTTTTCTTGCACTTCCTTTCCTTCAAGACTCTGCAGGAAAAAAAAAAAAAAAGCAAAAACAAAGACACACATACAATCAAGAAATATTAACTTCAACGTGATATGTAAAAATTACTCCCTTCACTTAATAAGATAAGACATTTTTTAAAAGATTAAATTAAATGTTTAAAAATATAAGATAATTTTAATATTTTAAAATATAATCATTACTTTTTTTTTAATGTACACTTAATGAATAAATTAATTTATATTTATTTTAAAGTAAAACACTTTATTGAATAAGAATAATATAAAAAAATAATATTAATTTAAAGATAAAAAATTATTTTATTAAAAAATAAAATTTAATTAAAAATATTTTATGTTTTTAAATAGAAGAGTAACTTTTCTTTCCTTGTCATTCTTACAGTACATTTTTAAATATCAAAAGTGAGACAAGAAACTTGCACTTTTTACAAAGGATATTTTAAAAAATATAAATTGATTACACTAAATATGTATTAGAGTTTATATTTAGCGGTAAGAAAAGCTGAAAATTGTGATATAATCAAGGGAGGAAGCACAAAGTATAAATATTGCTTTTCCTTCAATCCGTCTCCCATAATTCTGGAACTGAGAGCAAGAGATAGAAAGGAGAATCACTTTTCCATCAACTCAGTGGAATCACATTCCCGCGCCAACTACACGATGGAATCCATTCTCATTTCTGGGAAATTGAATTTTACCATCATGCCACTTCCCAGTTATTATGTGCAAAATAGATTTTTTATACAGATTCCTTGAACTATGCCATGAGCAATGCTCCTGTGAAATGAGTAAAACAGCACACAACATTGATGACTATCCAATGAAGCAAGGCAGAGAAAGATTGGCCAAGCATTTTGCACACCCTTACAGCTTCACAATCTTAATTTAAAGCATTTTTATACGGATTTAGATTCGATGAGTGTACTTAATGCAAGCACTGAATACCTGTAATATCTGAACCATTAAAATTCAGATCAACTGTTCAAATAAAATAACTCATTTATTAATTTTAAATGGGATATAAATTTAGAATCGTTGATATGGATTTCAACGGTTTAAATACTATATGTATTCAATACCTGTATTAACTAGTCAGTGAATCCAAATCCATTTTTTACCCTTCTAGACTAGCCAACCATCCACATAATAAATTCCAAATATACTATCACTGTCTCTTGGTAATAGTATTCATAATATGCCTTTCCATTTCCAATTTCCCTCGTTAAAATAAAAAATAAAAAAAGGATACATGTGTTTCCAAATCCTCTTCCTTTCCATTATACAGAGGAGAGCCCAAGCAGAATCAATAAAACAATAATCAATCTTCTTCCAAGACAAGAATTGCCTCTCCCCCACATGGAGGAAACATTCGTAAATAATCACAGAACCAGAGTGCCAAACAAGATCTGAGAGAAATAGGATGCCTCATTTCATTCTTCATCCATTTCTGTGCTATTCTCATTCCTCCATTTCTTCACCATTTCCAGAAAAATCTCATTCCATGTGTCTATAGGACCTGGCAAGCACCAATGAACACAATCATTTTGAACACGCTCTTGAACTCCATTGGCAAACGGAAATGCATGCATATAAGGACCTGGATGCCCATCTGGTCTCATCAATGCTAATTTTGTCACATCTAATGCTTCTAATCTAAACCCTTTATACTTATTCAAAGCTTTTTCTTTTGCAGCTCCTACTTCTTCCATCTCAATCTTTCTCATATCACTATCCATTCCTTCTAGCTCCTTCTCTCCCTTTCTGTAAGGCTTGGTCTTTGGACAAGCACCTGCTTTATCCCACTCCCCTTCAAAATGCGCAGGTGAAAATGTTGTCACTGTAACATCAATTGCTTCCCCTTTTGCTGATTTCTTCTCAATGATGCTATTAAGGGCAGTTCTTAAGGCCTTCCTCAACACATCAAAGAACCCTATCTCTGTGTGGTTCAGACCAGGACAATAATGGCAACCTAAGACTGAATCAGCCTCGTAATAAACCGCAGGATGCAAGAACCAGTGCCCTATAGACAGCACAATCATGTCCATTTGACCCATTTCACCTGCCCATCTCTCATCAACAATATCCAGATACAGCTTGTTATGATTCGGACCCCTGCTTGATTTTTCAATACCTTTCACAAGAAATGGAGACCAATAAACCGAGAGACTTACGTTGTGAGAAGAAAAGAGCCACCTGCGAAATTTGTTGTCCTCGCCGTTTCTGTATACAAGGTTAGGGGTTGAAGCAGTGGCAAGAAGGCAGAGAAGGGACTCTAGTTGATTTCTGGCCATGGAATCTCCGACAAAAGCTAAGTGCTTGTTCTTGAGAAGTTGCAGAAAAGCAAGAGGCTCAAACCTGGGGAGATTGCACTGTGTTGGCTTCCATCTCCAGTAAAGATAACCCAAATCTGGTCTTCCATGGGCGATGCAGTTCTGGCCTTCTTTGATTGTACCACAAGTCGTGCCATTATACAAAGGACCTCTTCTGTCACGAACCCACTTGCCATTAAAGTAGTCACATGAAGAAATCAGAGACTCTCCTGCAATGAAATTTCGTCCCAAAATAGAAAAAAACCCATTTTGTGATTAGAATCTGAGACAGACAGAAAAAGGGAAAAGGAAACCTAGAATGATAAAAAGGTGTACCTGCAGAAGAAGATGGAGGAGAAGGGGAGAGAGAGAGGGGATGGTGATGAGGGTGGAGTGAGGGAGGTCGGCGTCTGGAGAAGGAAGAAAAGGAAGAGGGGAAAAGAATAAGCGAAAGAGAGCGATGGGAAGAAGAATGTAGAGAGTCCATGGGAGGAATTTCTTGGTGAGCAAGAGGGTTTGATCTTTGATTGAGTTAGAGAAACCATATCGGAAGGCGAGGCTCGTTGCTTTCCTTTCCCTTTCTTGTCCAAGTTTTCAACTTTCTAATGGGTATCTGGTCTATCTATCTACTCTCTACTCTGTCGTTGTGGTGAATGAAATCCCACTAATAGCAATCCCATGATGTTTCATCTAATTTTACAGCGCGTGTCGACTGTGTAGTGCCTTTCTTTCTTTTTTTTTTAATCACATAAGCATCGTGCACTCT